CCGATTCTATTGTAGGCGGCGAACTGTGGTTCGATCAACTTATAACTGGTCCCATCATCTTACAGGCTACTGGTTCAATCACCTTGAATAACTGTCTCCATAGTAAGATAACTGCTGGCCCTGGATATTTTAACCTGTCTGTTCTGGGTATAGGCTGGCTGTCACCTGTCTGCTATCTGTGTATAGGCTGGCTGTCACCTGTCTGCTCTGGGTATAGGCTGGCTGTCACCTGTCTGCTCTGGGTATAGGCTGGCTGTCGCCTGTCTGCTCTGGGTATAGGCTGGCTGTCACCTGTCTGATCTAGTGATCTGTGATTTTGCCGTTCGGTCTCGGCGTTATGAAGCTGAGACAAATGTTGATGTTTCGTAACAAATTGTTGCTCGAATTTCAAATCAGGAAGTGCATGAATGGGAGCAAAGTTTTTGTTTCTTTTCCAGGTGAGTCTTGTCCGTATATTGGTGAGACTCGTCAGTGTGGCGGCGATCTTTTGGTATATTACATTTCTTCAGGCTCGAAAAATTTATTTTAACCAATAAAATTGGCGATGCTTCTACCGTATTTACGATTTTTAAAGGAGTCCTCGATTTGTATCCACGTTTCCAACCAAGATGTCGTTCAAGTTTTAACACTCACACTTGACCGCCCCCCCCTTCTTCTTATTTGACAATAGCTGTGATAACAATAAGGATAGCATTATTATAACGGCGTAGAAGTGCTGCAACCTGTCACTTGCTTAACAGCTTTTAAGTGGTGCAATGTTGGCACTCTCGCTATAGGGGTTGGCGCTCCTTTAAAATATCGCACAACGTGGCCTGGAAATGCAATATTATATATTATTGCATAATATTGTTGCCGGGAGTCGTATACGATTATTTTTCCACCAACCCTCTGCTTCTATCTGATATTGTTAAACAATTATTGCAATTTTTATAATTCTTTCTTGATTATTGGCCTACTTATCATATTCTTTCTGTTCCTTTCAGCCATTAATTTGACCTATCACTTTGTTTCACTGAGAATGGCAATATTGATTGTAATGCTAAATCACTATTGTTTACTTTAGAGGAGAATCCTTACGCAAATGCGACAGTCTGGCAAGTTGTTGGTTAGGTTAATTTGGTTTGCATGTTTTAAGTGTTCCATAATTTTACCGCCTTAATTCAACTGTCATATGCTTAAAAGTTAGTCTTAAATGCTTTGCTTTTGTTAGTTAGCTTAAAACCTAGCACCTTTTGCAATTTACTCGAATGGTTATTATTCTTATGCTAGCTTTTATTTGCAAAGATATCACTAATTTCTTTCCATATACTATGTTTTTCTTGTTTTGCTTTTCACATGGTTGCTTGCTGCACCCAACCAGCTAGGTATATCAGTTGAGAATCTATTCAAGTGTTTATTGCATCAGTTTTAATACCAAATTTCCCTCCAGGAATAGTCTTATTATCTAGCTGTACAGGTCATTAATTTTTTATTATTTATTTCTCAGTTCACCAATGATGAAATAAGTGGTAACACTGTCCATACTCTCTGTCCCTGATCTTAACTCATAACTCCTGAACTCGATTAAACTTACCCACTCATTGCACTGAACCACATACATCTATCACTTAGCTATTATTTCTCTTGTAATCCATTTAATTGAATTTTCATTCAATTTATAATGTATGACACCAGTCTCATTCATCTTAACTATATATATAGAAGGTAGTTTTCATACCGTACCTAACTTAATTAAAATAGGTAACACGGTTACCTCACCCGCCACATGAGCTCATATCCGGCACAAATATTGAAAACGATGTTTAGGATACTCATTTTTTTTTCAATTCCGCCGTATTGGCGGTATTCAGCAGTACATTACACATGCCTCATAAGATTCTGTTTAAACTGAAAAATTGAAATTATATGAAACACTTTTGATCACAGAGAAAACCTAGTTCGATCATATATGGGCTTTTTATGTGGGAACGATTACTTTTGATGATGCATTGCAACAAGGGTAGTGTTGAGGCGTATCGTTAAGCTAACACAGCAGTGTTAATGCAAGCATCCAGACGAGTGTCCGCCTCCCGCACGGCGCTTCGTCTTACAAACGATGAAATTACACGCCCTGGCATAGCGACCTCGCTGTGCACATCGACAGTGTGAGCTGCACTTGCTCAACGTTAACCATTCGACTTTGAATCTCTGCTTTTCTTCATTTTCGCATAATTACTACTTTACAATCCCATATTTTCTTGATAATTTTGTTATTATAGCAATGACAACATGTATTGAAGCCCGGCTTGTTCCATCCAGTAAAACGACGATTCGTGCTTACTATCACAATCTTTTGTGAGAATTCGTGGAAATATTAATCCTGTAAGGCCGATCCTTTGGGGCAGTAAATGTGGTCCAGAGATTAAGCTTCGACCGATTTGCAGCGTTTCGAGGATTTGTTCTGGTATATCCTCCACTGCCTGAGTTGATGGCTTTCATGCTGTCACTTTGAAAAGCGCTGGACTAATGGTCCTTGTCTAATAGTAAATTAATTTTTTAGGTGCATTTATCCTGTAAGAATTAACTTAGATTATGAAGCCGATTACTTGAAACTGACCAATTTAGGTCGATTGAAGTTTACTGGTATAGGTAAAGGTATACTTTTTACTGATCAATTTAGGTCGGTTGCTTCTCATTTCGGTTATTCTTTTCTTTATTTTGTTCGTTATTCATTACGTGAGCTTGCCTCTCTTGCTGTTCGGCTGACGCTAGCGCGGGCCTATTGAAACTTGCGTCAATCGTCAAAATAACATGAATTCTTCTTTAGGAATACTCTTATCTTTATTTAAAGCCAAGTGTTACGTATTGCTACTTAACTCGTAAGTTACAGCATTTATGCATTACAATTCCGTTATCAATTCCATCAATTACTGTCGAATGTTATAATTTTCTTCTTAACTTATTTTTTCGAATGATTTTAAATTTTTTTTTTTTCTCCCGTGCACGGTTTCCCAATTTTTGTGATTTGACCTTCGTCCCCCCCACCTCATCTCCCCCGTCCTCCCTTGTGGTTCGCGTCTCTGCGTGCGTCGCAGCGCCGCCGCGTGTCACGCCTCACTCGCGCAGTGACCGCCGTGGAGCGCGCACGAGTTTGTTGTTTGTTCCGAACTTTACTACTCAGACGTACTTTGAAATTACCTCGGGTAATAAAAGGCGCATCATATTTGCACAAGTGAACAGTCGTGAAAATAACGTATGATTGCAACTATTATTTGCTTTGTGTTATTTTGTATGTTTCGTTATATCGTGTACATTCATGAGAAAGAAGAAGGAAAACTTGCTACTTTTATGTAAAAATAAACTAAGTATTCATGGTGAATAAGGCCAGGACATTCCTCATTTCAACTCTTTCAACTGTAGGTTGAGATGATCGTTGATCATTTAAATTAGTTTTGTACGGCTTAAGTTTTGTGTGCTGATCCGAGATTCTCGAGACTTTCTCTGTTCGCTGTCACGCTTCTAGCTCCTTTTGCTGCTCACATCTGTAACGTTTTGGTCGTTTTCGACTGAATAGAAGCTCTTGCTTCTTCTGTGCCAGTGATAGTGATTAATTTGTGAAAATTGAAAGCATTTAAATTCAATTGAATCCTTTGTGAGTATAGAATGTGACAAAAACTTCCTTAGTAGGGAAGATGTTAAAGCCACACAATACATTGAAATAATCAAAATTGTCGAGCAAATAATGCTACTATCGATGTGTGAACAATTACTTATCTTATTAGTACATTGAGTAACCACACTTGCGCATTGCTTAGCGTGAGATTCAGTCTTCTCGCATGAGCAAGATGAGACCACAGCGTATCCTGCGGCTGCGTAATGAGCGTAAATCCTTCACTGAACAACAACACATTTGGCTGGAGTGCTTGCTTATGTTTCGTAACAAGTGTCTGATATCTCAGCGTTGTATATTCTTGCTATGACGAGTTCTGGAGATTGATTTCTTATTCAATGGATCGATGCAAGTTCTGATAAAGTTGGCCGAGTTAGCCATTCTTCAAACTGTATGTTGCCCGATTAAATTCGATCATCATAGCATGACGTCGTTAACCGTTCAGTTTGGTTTGTCATCAAAGAATTTTCTTAGTTTTTTTGATTAGTTTTTGCGCACTATGAGAAGTTTGATTTGTAACAACGAGAGTTCTAATTTAAATTCAACCATTAGTGTGCTCAAATGCATATATCGTGAGCAGAAAAACCATGGTAATGATGGTATTCACTTCTTTTCTCTAATCTTTTGAATCATTAGTCATTTATTTTTATTTAATGACAAGATTGGGCGGACGACGATAGGAGATGCGATAAAGTGACTCGCCAAGGCTAAATTCCATGCTCACTCACCTTGCTGGCTTTCTCTCTTCTCGTACCTGGGCGTCCTGCTGATGCTTTGCCCCGAGCAGTTGTATTGAATGCCGAGCCCGTCTCCTGTCCTGAGGCTATGGTCCGATGAAATGGCAGCCGTGAGTGCGGTGCTCCTGTTTTGATTTCATTTTTATCATTGACAGGAACTTTGATACCAAGAAATAAATTGTTGATAAAATAATTTGTGTACTGTTCATGCGTTGCTTGTTTGTCGTGTGCCGAGCTCACAAAATTTATTAGAAAATCGCGTTAACGGTGAGAAGTGATCCGACTTTCTGATGAGGAAGTGAGTTTGCTGCTAGTAGATTTTCCAGTACATTAATTTCAATTCGAGCTTTTGAAGTTAATACAGGTTATGGAGGGTAAAATCGTTCCAAGTTGTCGAAATATTCAATTGTCTTCAGTTTTTAGAAATTAATTTTTCTATTTTTTTTACCAAGACACTATAAACCTACGTGCTGATTCATGGACACAAATACCTAATATTTTTTCATTAATGGGTGTTGATTGCGCATTCATTTTGCTACGGTCTCAATTATTATAACTTAATTTCCGCTATAGGGACTGACAGTATTTACCTATCTATTAATTCAATTGTTTCATTAAAGGTCCCAAACGTTGAGAGTGTCTTCTCAATGTGCAAGGAAAGTCGCTGAGATGTAATTTGTGTCTAGGCGGAGACGTTTGCTGAGACTCGTATGGCTGAGCTCGATCAGCCCTTCCTCCAAAATTGACATGTGATGGTTATTAGCTGTTATTATGGTGATGGTGGGCGATAGAGGTCTTGGCTTCATCCTCAAACGAGCCTGGAGAGATGGTCAGAAATGCGGAGGCGGTCGAAGAATTTGTCGTCGACTCTGGAACTCAGCCGTCCTAGGGCTCCATGATTCTGGAGGAACTCGTGTCCGTGCGCCGCAAAAGAGGCGCTCCGGTAACAAAAATAACAAGAAACGACGCCCTCAGAAATCGAGCTCATTCAATAGACGAAATCGTTCCGCCATTATCCGTACTGAGTCTTCTTTCCTTAACCGTCCTGATCAAGTCAGGTCAATTGCGCCTCACCCGGTAGACGAGTACATTTTTAGCACTCTGTTGAAGCGGACCAAGCATAAGGGATATAGTCCAAAGCTCCTAACAAAGAACAACTACGTGGAACACTCTTTGCTGATTCCGGCTCACAATGAACGGTGCATCGACACTTGCGTTGCAGCTGCAGCTGCAAGGATGTCGGCTCTGCCGGAAGTTCCGAATCCCACGTATGATCTTAATCGATCGCCGGTACAATCATTCCCGCCTGACTTTGCATTCGTTCCTGCCTTGCCACCCAAACCCTATCCCAGAACCAAACATTTAATTGGCAAAAATTTGAAGACAAATTCTGGATGTAAGGCAACGACAAAAAGCCCAAACACAGATTATTTGTACGGTAGACCTAGGAAGTCGGTTAAGTCGCTCCCTTCAACGCCGTCAAGCAGCGGAGTTTCTTCTGGAGAGGAAGGCGGTACTTCGAGCCAAAACACAACACGCGACGTTTCAAGCTACATGGACCCGCAGGACGCGGCAGAAATATGGCAAATGGTTGGCCGCATCTCGTCCAAGTCACGAGAGACAGATGAATCTCAGACCAACAGCAACGGTTGTGACAAAACGGAATACGTGAGTGAGGAATTCGGCCGCAGTGTGTCGTCTTCAGTGTCATGGCAATGGTCATCTATACCCATCCAGACTAGCACGACCGCCGAGAGGGATCTTGAGATAACGCGTGCCGATGACAGACCACCTGTCCCGCCCAAAAGAGGTATATATTATGTCACTTTTCTAATCGCTGCACTCTCAAACGAATGTCATCAATATTTCCATGCTTAGTAATTTTTTCACTATATTACTTTACAAATCGTGCTTAGTATTACGTGTATAGATATTATGATGGTGCATTCTGTGCCGCTTTCTGAACACAGTACCGGCATGTTTTATGTGTACAAGTAGGCTTTGCCGAGTCCACTTAGCAATGTGGGTCATCCCACATAAATGACCATTTCCGGAAAGGTTTCTAATGAATCGACGTCAGCCGCATTGACTTGTTTCTTGTCTACGTCCGAGTCTGGCGTTCCGCAATAACTGGCTGAGCTTTCTCTCCTGCACAGAATTCAATGGCGGCTGAGTCTTGACAGTTTTTCACGTACTCACATGTACGAACTTTTTTGTGTGTCGCGGCTCTCACTGTATATACCGATAGTCGTGCAACTTCACGCTCGCGCGAGTTTTATGGACATTTTTGCCTGCTGATTTTTAAACAAATTGTTACCTTATTTCTTGAATTAAAAACAACTATTGACTCTACCACCAACGAAACGAATCCTATTGAATATTTTTGGCGTTTTGAAATGGATTCCGTCTGCACTACTCGGAGATGTGATGAAAGCGAACTGATTCTGTGAACGTGACCTGCATAATGTGTGATAGATTTAATATAAGAATTTCTAAAGCGGTTCACAATTCTCACTTGATCTCCGTTCCTGACCCAAAGCCATGCGCGATCTTTATGTGAAAACTAAGGCAGCGGACTATGAAAAGCCTAGCCTGAGGTTAGGGTTATATGCTTTCCTGCAATTGCTAAATAGACATTTATTTTTCTGGAAAATACCGTAGTGGTTGGTTTGAATTTGCTTTCGACCTAATAATTTATTTATTTTATTTTATATAATACATGCCTTGAATGGACCACTCTAATGTTTGCACTCAAAAATTTCGTTTGGGCCGTGTTGTTATGAAGCGGCTCGTAAATGATATCTATGATGTCTACTTGCAGTGTTGTGGTGCATGCGTTTAGTTTTATGCGGTCGCACTTATTGTAAGTGCTCACCTTCTGTCCTACATTCTAGGACCTTTGCCTGACTCTGTTGGCGGCCGTGCGTGTGAAATATTCCATCGTTCACTGAACCATGCCGCTGGGAAGTGGAACGCAACTGTAGAATTACTAATATTTGTCGACCACGCTTGGCCCCGCCAACTGCATGATCTGCTATTAACTATTTCTTCGAAAAGTCGTTATTATTCGTGTGTGTGAGCTACATAGTTTGGTATAGCCCACCATGCTTCATGATTTTGCTAGGGCAAATGTAATACGAACTACAAGTTTATTTTTTATATCTCGAGAACGATATATACTTGGGCGATCAAATTATTAATTAGCGACGTAAAATAAGCTTGGAAAGAACATTATTTCTTCACAAAGCCATTTCCAACACTGTCTTAGAACCGTTTTCGTTCTATGTTTGTGATAGTGATGGAAATGTGTCATCTAGAATAATCTTGTTCAAAGTTTATTAAGTGCCATGTTAGTGAAAATTAGTAGTGGTGATGTGTTATCTCAAATATAAAATTTGATTAAATTTGTGTCACTTTTAGTGATAGGGAGTAATGGTAATGTGTTATCTTTAATAATCAGGTTCAAATTTGTTTCAGGACGAGTGATTGATTTGTTTCAGGTGAAATTTATTCATTTGATTCACACTATCCCAAACATGAAGCGTCTGTGTCAAAAATCTATAGATATTTTGAAGATTATGGCCAATGATTTGATTTATCTCACTTATTAAATAGTTTACGAGTTTCCTGGTTGCTCGTATGATACTTATTTCCGGGCAGTGTAGATAACCTGAAGTTCGCATCATGGCCGCAGCTTTAAGTAACATATAAGATCCCCATTTAGTTAACATAGTCGTCTTTGTTTACATTTCATGCGAGATTTTCCAAGTTTTCATGCCTGTCCTCCGAACTTCTACTTATTTTATATTATTGAAGCGTGTATCAATCTTCTATCTCTCAATTTCATTTATATTTCTGACACATTGTTTCTAATTTAGCAAGATCTATATTCGCATACTTAACTCTTTTGGTCCGTGAAACAAATTTCGAGCAATATTATATGCCCTGCTCTCGGTCCCCTCAGACCCTGACATTTAAAGTTCGTATTACGCTTCTGTTGACCGCGTCCAGCAACTGACCGTTTGCGTCATGTCGCTGCACGAAGCTTGCTGGCAAACCGACAAGGGCGTGAGAAAAGTGACATATTTTTGATTGTTATCATTGCTATGGTTTTTGAATGCAAAATACTTAGAAATTGATTGAAGGCTTCTTGATGATTTGCATCAAACCTGTATATGTGTTTTGTCTTCCTCATTATCAAACTTTTTGTAATTTCATTTCATTGGTCAAAGCAATGGTTTCACCACAGTTTACGGTTTTAAAATATTACTCAAAAGCATCGTAGATTTCAGTAATTCCTTTCGTGAAGAGCCATCATTTATATTAAGACAAGAGGACGCACATTATTTGCAGCAAAAATGTATCTCAGCAAATTTAAGGTTGCTGTCTATAGAGCATTTCTTGTCATGAGATACTCTAAACCTTTATCGGCTAACCTTCCCTGTTTCTTTCACCTTTAAAGGAGTAAACATGCTCCAAATTATTACTTCTGTATTCACTTGGTTGCTTTTAATGCTCCGAACGTTTGTTTCAGTCAAGCTTACACGCTTCAAGGTCTTCCTCGGTCCTTTGTTATACCGATCGCTGCCAGGGAGAACTCAACACTTTACTTGTGCAAGCTGTACGCAAGCTTCTGATCTTGGTCTTGGTGTGTGCTGCGTTCACTCTCAAGATGGCCAACATCAACAATTTCTCATTCGTGGTGCTAAACCCAAGCCGCATTTCAGAAAATTTTCCACTTTATTAACTTGATTGATAAGAATTTTACGCCTGTTTATTAGCGATGAAATGCAAAACAGGAGCAAAATTGTTTTATATATGATAATAGTCGCATGGTCTACGTGTCATAGACTGAGATCCAACCTATAGGCATGGCGCTAAATATCTCAATTTCATTCCAGATATTTCATATTTGCCGTGTTTACTTATCATCAAGGGCTCTTGGTTGTCGTGAAATATTTCGTTTGATGTTTTTGATCAGTTAGTAATTGCTTCTCGTGTGAAACATTAGACCTGATCGTGGTCTTATAGCCTGGTGCAGACACTGGCAGGTACCAGTCAAGTACGAATTCCCTCTAGTTTGCGAACATGAAGCTCGCCATATGCTTATTTCCCATTAATATAGTTTTTGTATTTTAAATTTCCAAAGAATTTTCTCGAGCGGCTCTCAACTCAGGAAAGCGAGCAGTTTGTTCCTAGCGTCTCTTGGTAATTTTTTCCTGTGGTTCGGTAAGAATTGTGTCGACTCCAAAATACGCCGGTTCTGCTCGATCTATAAACTCGTATCAGTCAATATGTTTTTTGGAACTCGATTGTCACGTCCTCTGGCCTCTTATAGAGCGCTGCAGTTAACAATTGGAAGATTAGAGTTCTTTTAGATTAATTAAATTTCATTTCTAGCCTGGTTGTGGAAAAGTATTTGCTGATTATCTATTTTAAATCCATTTTCATGATTATGATGCATTCATTTTTCGTTGCACTGTTTCGTTGCGGGATTAAACTTCTCCGTTCCTTTATGATAGATTTTACTCATGTTACATATTTTGCAGTGTTTTTCTGTATATCATACTTTATTAGTTCGGAATTAAATTACGTTTTTGAACAAGATTTTATGAACAGCACCTAACATAACGGGGCAACTAACGTCGACCGCAATTAACAGACGCAACATACCTTAACGTTCAGAAACTGTGCCTACACGACCTGCGCCTCCGTGGCGCTGTGTTCAGTTGTCGCTCTCTTCTTTATTGGAGCTTCGCATGCCTTGATATGAAGCACATGGCCTTCTCGTGCGTAGTGAAGAATCTAAAACCTCGTGTCAACGCTCACTGTAAGCGCTGAAAACCTCATCTCGATGCCGTGCCACGAGAGTTTGGCTCGTGTAACTCGCAATCAGATTGAATTTAATTCCCCAGAGATGGAGCATTAATTATTGTTATTGTTTTCGGTGACCTAAATGACAATATAAGGTGGGAAATTTTCTTCAGCGAATTTCGTTGTTTTGATGGCCAATTATTAACTGTTTTTCTTTTTTTATTGGGGAGTTCACAGCGGGATTCTAACTTCAATGAGCTCTATTTGCAGGTTTTCAATGTATATATCATGGATGCTTGCACGAATTCCGTGTGCAAGTTTTCGTTTAGATAGCCGTATCATTTATGCGTTTGTTAATTTAATCTTTTCATATGAATTTAACTCGATTCAAAAATTGGTGATAAAGCAATCTGTAGTGAGCTCGGGGTAGAATGGACTGCACGCCAACAAGCAATATCCAGTGAGGGGTAGAATGATGAAGAAAACAATTCAAAACAATAAAAAATACATATCTCGTCACATAGGGTTTAATCTCTTTCGTGTATATATGGAATTTCACTGCTGATTACAATTGTTCTCTCTAAAATTTTTTCAACTGGTCTCCGAAACATTTTCACGAGGATCAAGGTGAATTTACTTGGCGTTTTCTTTGCCTTTGAATTATTAGTGAACTTGCTATTTAAGGAGACGAATGATACAAGTATTAATATTTTAAAAATGTATTTTACATATTGGAAACAATTTCCTTTTCCTTGAAATGCGTTACTATCTTTCTTTACAATTAAACTTGTAAAGTTCAGGCACAGACTTTTGCATCGACATTATCGGAAGCTCTTCTCAGTCTTGCTTTCGGAATGGGTTCACTTGATTCTATTTTTTGTATATTCATCCAACTTTTCAACTTGTCGATTTTTTCTGGTCTTCATTAAATCATGTCACGTGCTAGCGCTCGCTGCTTCTTGCGGCGCCTGCGCTGTCGCACCCGCAACCTCACGGACCGTCCAGGAAAAACGTCCCGCGTGAGAACTTTACTGTCATCCGGTTTCTTCTGCCGGACTTTTTGCGATATAATTCGCGGTGCATGTGTGTATGTCCTGCGCGTATATCCATGGCGAGCTGCTTGCTGCAATTATGTGCTCGACCTACTGAATGAGTTAGCGCCCCTTTCGAGAGTTATTGACTTAATTTATATTAGCTTTATTTGGGACCATTACTTAGTTTACAATCTTTATTGGATGAATTTGATAAGGCTTTCTGATGATTTTTTGGACAAAAATTTTTAAAATAACCTGCAGGAATTTTTACTCTTTGCTGTTTGGAAAATTGGATCATTTGAAACACTTCCTGAAGCATAACGAGCAAACACTCGACATTTGTATCAACACCGATTCATTTATTTTAGACAATCATTCAGCAAATGATTTGACAGGATTATCAAGTTGCTGAAACTAACTGACTAACTAATGCCTCCTTTTCACTAACTTCATTGTGGGCATTATTGCAGGATCGGTGACGCGAGACATTTGTATCAACACTGATTCATTTATTTTAAATATTAAGCTGTTGACACTAACCAATGCCTATTTTTCACTAACTTGATGGTGGGCATTATTGCAGGATCGGTGACTCGCGACCTCCGCCAGTACCTGAACACACGGTTCCCTAAGGGCGGCGTAGACCATGACCTGCAGAACACGATCAGGGACAACGTATACCTGCGCACCGTGCCTGTGACTACCCGCACACCGCGGCCTGGTGAGCTCAACGGCCTCGACTACACCTTCCTCTCGCAGCACGAGTTCCACGCACTCAAACGCTCTGGCAACCTCCTCGAGTCGGGCGTCTTCCAAGGTCAGAACTTAGGGCACCAAATGTTTCATTTATCTCATTTGATGCATGATTAAAAGCAAGGCTATGTATGAACACAATATCTTGTCGCTTCACTTAGATTCCATGTTGATCAGCCGTGCTAATGGATCATCGGGATGGTGTTTTTGTATCAATCAATGCTAGAAAGACATCCGGAGTGTAAGATAATTCCTTCTAACTGTTAGTTTTTTGCGAATATATAGCAATCAAAGCACACTTTAACAATTCTTTATCAAGATTATTCTGTAATAATTAGGAATTGTATGTCTAATCATTTACCTACTCGAGATTCCTTTATTTACGATAATCCATGAATGCAGATCCTAAATCTTGAGAATGTTCACTGTCGGTCACGCAATGCAACGTAATGCTTTATGTGTTTGTATTCATCCGGCCTGAGACGTTATTGAATGCTCTTTGACTATTGTACGACTGTGTGATTCTTAAAATTCACGTATCACCTGACTCGATATTATGCATCTTATTTCACTGAATATATGCTTATATGTATATATGTCATGCTTGAATGTTCCACTCTCATGCACCATTTTGCACGTCCGTTCGCTTCCTCCACTCAACAATATTTTCTTACTATTGATATTCATCCTGGTTGGTTTCAGTTATTTGGTCTTTAATGAACCTTCACTTTTATTATTTTGGTGGGACAAATCTCCATGCTCTGCTCTCACTTTCAATTCATCTATACTATTAATCGTTAATCAAGATCGTTGAAGTCACGTTGTCAATGCTCTTGTTCTATCACCTCAACGATGTTAACAAAACTTTTGGATATTTATTTATTTCTCCCATAAAAAAAACTATACACCGGGGCTCCATTTGTCTTAAAGAAGGTAGTGTGTTGTGAAGCGAGAAATGTGTGCTTTTTATGTTCACGTTTCCAAAGTTATATGCCGAGCTTTGAATCTTGAGAGCATCCTACAATATGATGAAGCTATATATTGTATTTATATATTAATTCAGCTCTTCAATCTGTGCACAACCATGCACATGACGATACCTTCATTTGCCCAATTCAAGCCACTTCCATAATTAAATTTTGTGTCATTCATTTTGCCTTGGTAATGCGACATATATTATGACCGAGCTCAGGCCGTTCGGTATGAGCCTCGTGTTATCTCTCCCGATAAGATAGGACTATGATGGTTTGCTCTGAACGGCAGATCAACTTTAGATCAGTCTGTTTGGCGAGTGCAGTGCACCTTGTTATAGAGCTCGCGTCCGTGTCTTATTTTCCAAAAATTCACTCCTGTTTCGATAAATAATTGTTAATTGGTACGATGAGAGCAGTAAAATCCTTCTGTAAAGAAAAAGTCAAAATGTCGACGTTTTTTGGTCGCTGTTATTCGATATCATTAAATGTATCGCCTAACCGGTACATTTATTCGTAAAGACCGTGACACTGGATATTTTTGCTTGGATGCGGTTCCGGCATATTTTGCGACGATAACGCTGCTGCTTGTATTTGTGTATTAGGTGTATCTATTGTATCTGTGTATTAGGTGTATCAGCTTTAGGTGTATCTGACTCTGCAGGCTCATTGTATGGCACTCCTCTGACCACATCCTCAACTTCTGGACATACTACTTATCTTCCCCTTAATCGACCTGAACCGAGCCATGGTCCCACTGGCTCGCCTGACGTTCGTCCCGATGTTTTTAAACGAGCTAAAGCTGAAGAACCAACAAATTTTTCCACGTCTTCGAGCCAACGAAACGCTGGCAGTGCTCATTTCTTTACCCTTGGTTCTCGCAAGAAAAAGCAGCCTCCTGTGAACCAATATTCTAATAATTCTAACGCAATCCCGACATCCGGAAACGCCAAGTCTGTGTCAAAGATGCTTGGCAAACAGTACAATAAATTTGTTTCGAAGACGAAGCAAATCCTTACTCATGACAAAACCGAAGAACCTAAAAATTCCACTGCTTCGGTTGTGCCAGTTAATTTTTATCCCGAGTTTCCTGATTTGGTAGAAACTCATCGAGATTATTTCTTGGGAGGAGCAGCTTATCACACAGTCAAAGTCAGCTCGCATTCTGAACAAGCTGGTCATCGTGTTTCAGGTAACGCACCAAGTTCCTTCGTTGGCAGCCATTCGAACAATGGGGTAGTGTTGCAAAAAACTAATCCAAGTAAAAATTGTCAAAATAAATTAGTCGATAATTCTTACGGCGATTGTAATGCTTGGCCAAATCTGATCCGAGGCGGCACTTCCAGTAGTTTTGTTGCTAAGGATCTTCTCCGAAGAAGAGTAGTTGGTACTCGTAGCATTGAGGTTGCTTCTGACAAACAAACGTGTAGCAAAGACGAAGTGAATGAGAGTAATGAAGACGTAACTTCATATTGCAGTGACTCGTCTAACTCGTCGTTTGAAATGAAGCGACGAATGTTTCTGTCACTAAGTAGTAACGATGTACGTGGCAATAAATTAGGCAGAAGTGACTTGCCTCCTGTCGCCTCGGCGAAGAGCTGCGTTGATGTTTCTGGCAGTGCCGAACAAAGTTTTTCTTCTAAAGTACGCCATACGCGGGCTGCAACCTTGCCGAGGAACTTCCACGAACGCGACTCCTCTTCTCGGACGTCAATCGGTAATGCAAGTGAACAATCGCATTCCTGCAAGAGTGAAAATTATGTATCGGATTCTGATGATGATCTTTCCCAGTCCAATACTTACAGCAGCGACGAAGAGCTACATGAAGCTATAAACGGAAGTGAAAGCCTAATTCGCCTTGCCCAAAATATGCAACACTCTTCAGAGTGCGATCGAAGTACCCAAATAATAAAACCAAACAAACCTCGACCTCCGCCAAGGTCCACTTCTTTGCGAGATCTCCTCAACAAGAACGCAGATAGCGACGCAGTGCATGAACCCGGCTCGTCTTCACATGAAATAAATCTTATGAGACAGCTGCCCGCGGAGGAGCCACATTTCCATTCCAATGTATTCCCATCTATTAATAGTTCGTTTGAAAAGTCAGATATGTACAGTTCCAGTCCACAATCGTTACGTTCGAGTGCTCATGGAGTGCAGTTCGCCTATTTTCATGAGAATAGCTTACAAGCCAACAGTTCTACTGCTAGAGACTCTCCGCGTTCTTCTTATTCAAAAAATGTTCCTGCCTCCCACTCGCTGCAGACTTCTGAAAATCTTGGTCAAACTTCGAATAATAATAGTCGATACAATTATTCTACGGAGCTAAGAAATCCTATCAACAAATATTTTTCAGTAAATGAAAACGCACTGAAATTGGACGCTAATGAATCTCGAAGTTGTTCTTCCGGAGCATGCACTGACACGACTCGGGACGGTGTCGTCGATGGAAATGCCTGGTACACTTCTTATTTAGCGGCTCGTAGGGCACACTCGAGCCGCCTGTCTTCAATGAAGATCGGAATCCAGAGTGACAAATGGCAAGCTCCCAACAATTATAGCAGACACAGTAATCCCTCTCAGCCCACATTGAACAAAATACCCGAGAGTGACACCGAAGCAGACAAAATCCATTTTTCTCCAGTGCCGCGAGAGCGAACCATGTTTATCAGCAAGAAAGACCCGTCTAGGTACAGCCCCAACGTCTCTGCCAGAAAGTATCATGTTGATACCTTTGCTCCAACGAACTACATTCATGATCCAAATAAGGAGTTTCACACGAGACAAGCTGGACTGCATCGTCCACTTGAGCCGCCTTCGTACGAATCAGTGGTGCAAAACTTACGCTTTTATCCTGTCTGGCATGAAGGTAGATCTTGTTCGGTGAATACTGCATGCGTTCATGACTAACCTTTAACAGATTTTGACTTTTTCCCCTTGTATTTAGATGCTTGCATCTTGGATCGTCGTTACTTCTTTTCACCTATTTTTTATAGTAACACGATTGACTGAATCCGGTTTTCGTTTATTATGTTAATTGAATGATTTCCCTTTGAAATTATCGTTTGGATATCAGTTTTTGTTTCTGTATTTTGGTAAATATTACTATGACATAAAGTGGCAGATGTTTGACGTGGCTTTCATTGGTATTAATTGGTGTATCTCTCTAAATTGAAGTCACAACTTCACTGGTATTAATTGAAATTTTGTAATTACCAGGAAACCATTACGGTACACCGAAACCTCCTTCCCAGCCGCTGACATCTGACCCTAGGAACCAGAGCGGACCCAAGACTTCCTCCTCAGCAGGCATCCTGCCTGGTGCCCACCCCAGCTCCGAGGGCAAGCGTCGTCGCAATCGTTCTAATGTTGAGGCGATGGCGGCCAACATGACTGAACCTATGACTTGGAACTCGCCACTTCCCAACCAGTATTCCCCTCAGTCAAACATGCCTCAGCAGCAACATCTTCCTGAGCTGCGTGATCATACAGGACCTACCCACGAGTCATCCTACTCTGCGTCCAACTTACAGTTCGGGATGAACAATGACGTAGCAATGCCCCCGGCCATGCATCCTCCCAATGATCTGCCTGATGTTGCCGGACCTCCTGACGGCGACCTGGGCCCCCTCCCTCCCAACTGGGAGCAGGCCTACACTGACAAGGGCGAGCCTTACTTCATTGAGTGCGTATACCGCTTTTATGTTGAAAATCTACCATTTAATGAAGAAAATCTGCCATTAAATGTTGAAAATCTACCATTAAAAATTAAAATTTTCCATTAAATATTGAAAATTTGCCATTAAATGATGATAATCTACCGTTATATGATGAGTGAAATAGAGCTCATAAAAAAAAATTTTTTCTGCTTTATTTGTATTGGATTTATTTGATATCAATCTAAAAGTGTTAATTTGTGCTATAGAACTTTTATTTGAAAGCTTTGTGTTAAAGCAATCATCTTCTGCTAATTTTCTTGCAGGATTCTAGACTATAACTTACTGCTCCTCGAATTTATAGTGAGAAATATTTCTTGATTCTAACGTGTTTGTGGTAGAAACCCGATCTTTTAACCGAACCACAGTTATTCCAGTGTTTTTTAAGGAATTAAATCTTAGTAAATATCTTTTCGTTATATATTAAGAGATGAATCGTTTCTTCCTGTAACGAAGAAGTCTGTCGGACGCGATCTAGTTCCGTAACTCAGTCAGCAGTTGCGACTTATCTCTTCCCTTAATATCAACACTGACTAGCTGGTCACATTTTTGTTTGCTCTGCAGTCACGTGGCAGGCACGTCTTCGTGGCTAGATCCTCGCCTTGCGAAGGTGCAGAAGCAGAAGGCCGAGGAGTGCGCTGAGGACGAGCTGCCCTATGGCTGGGAGCGCATCGACGACCCTCAGTACGGCACCTACTATATTGATCACGTCAACAGACTCACGCAGTACGAGAACCCCGTCACTATGGCAAAAACTCACACCGATCCCATCTCGGACTCCAGTCCTCAAGGCGAGTCAACATTCCCTCAACTACTATCTTGTCGGATTTATAGTTTTTAGTATTGTGACCATTATCTCTCCCAAAAATTGTCTGTCAATTTCTGTAACTATGATAAATCATAACATTTTATTCAATGCACAGAAGCGCCGTTACCGCAAGATCAGACAGCAATCAACAACGGCGGTATAGCCAGCAACGGGACCAGCAACAACAATAACAACAACAACAACAACACCTTCCCGCGACAGAAGAAACTGTCCCCCGACGGCGGGGCGTCGATGCCCCCCAAACCTGACGGCGACAACTCTAACCCCGGCCGCGTATCCCAGCCCCCGAGTGTGGCGTCCAAACGCAACAGCAGTAAGTTGAGTCGCTGCTCTGTGGTCTTCATTTACTAAGTTGACGCTATAGTTCACTCAGCGTCATTCCTGCAATGCCCAAAGCTCACAGCGTCGATTCCCTTATCCAACGTTATTTTGTGAACACGCTTTGAAGTTGTCAAGCCAATGCAGGGTATCGGTGAATGCGGCTCGTGGAACCTCTGAATGTGGGAGAGTAAATTTGGTTCGAATTTTAAATTTTTTCAACTTTCAAGTTCATATTTTGGTTATTTTTTGCAGAAAAGCACATGTCAACTAAGGGTGCAGTTCTTAATAATTCTTCACCTATGTTTTTCAAACAGCAATGTGTTTTACGTGAAAAATCATATATGGTAAAGTGAGATGATATTTTGGTAATCGCGTTACGGTAAAAGAGCGAAGAGATCTGTTACATTTTTTTTAAATCAGCCTTAAAATAAATTTCAGATTTGCGCATGCTGCGACACATCATTTGTGCAGGTTTCATTTCGTTACCTGTTGTCATTTGTAGCTAGTGGAGTCTCGAGGTTGTAACTATAAACAAGCATTTTTAAATGTCGATTCGTATTTGCATCAAAGATAATGGAGACTTAAATGTTTTGAATGATGGATTGAATAAAAACTTCAGAGACAACTTAGATCAACCTAAGCTTGATTTAGTTCACTGCTGCCTGGAAAGGAGGGTCCGTGGATAAGGTCAAATAGAATAAATGTTCTTCCTTCATCTTAAGATGTGTATTCTGCCCTGTAATGGTAGCTTAATGAGGATTGGGAACTAGTTTATATATCTGCACCAGCTAACTGGGACAGATGCTTTTCATTCATGAACCGTTTTCTATTTGATCTCCAGGCTTTTTTGTCATTGATTTCGGGCGCAGTCGTAACCATCGTTAAGACAGTTGCTTTCGTCCGTAACGCTTGCTTGGGACCGTAGTTCGATGCTTGTGTAATATTGCCTAGTGCTCCTCTAACTGCTCATTCCCTCGTTGCTATCATTCTCGATCTGAGTTAAGGAAACATTGGGCGAATGCTTAAAGATAACAAATAAAATGAGCTTAGCTTAAAAAGAAGCCTTCTGAGTTCTGCACCGCCAGTGAATTTTATAACTCAAAGTTCTTATAAGTCTTTCTCGTTTGCATCGTCCCGTTCTTTGCGAGGAGAGTCTGAGCTGAGTGTTGAAGAATGGTGTTTAGTGTGTAGACTCGGTCGTGTTGCAGCTTCCATTCCCAATGTGAACTTCTTGCCGGTTATGTACATTGGGAAAATGGAAATGTGACTCACGGTCGGAGTTTTTCATGCTTAATTGACTACTGTTTATGCACTTTACTTCGTTAATTTGAATAAACATCCTGTATATTGCTCGAATTAAGGGCGATTGTCTGGAATTTTCTATTTGAATGAAATGGAATAAGTACGACGTTGGAAACGTATTTATTAAACGATAGCGTGTTTCAATTGAAGTAATCGACATTTCTACTTGGGTTCTGAGGAGATACCTTGAAGTAGATTTAGAGATGTGTGAGTGCGTGCCACTGACCAGCATCGTGTTTGGTTTCTTAGGACTGACGCAGTGTATTCCCTGCCTGCCTTGTATTGCACCTGAAGGTGGCAGAGGAGTGCTATTGCCGACCTACGCTCACCAATCTTACGTTCGTGTTCGCTATCCTGTGGACCGATCACCTTATCATCAATCTTTTTTCTACCCTCCTCGACCTCGATCTTTATCTCCCAACTATAAACTTTCTCTACCGTCTCCCTCCTCCGCTATATCAGCAAGAAATAGCAAAGATAAAATAGACATGCTCTCTCCCACCAATGCCGTTGGGCTCAGCAGCGGCACGCCTCGCCACCACGCTCACATGCTCCCATTGCTCAGTTCGGTGTCCAGGTCTGCGGATTGCCTCAGTGCCGCTGAAAACAATATTTACAAGCAACAAACTCCCGAATTCGACGAGTACATCAAAACCAAGATGACTCGAAAACTGAATATACATTTAAAAGACCATCATGCTCAAGTTAAAAGTCCTACGCTCAATCAAACTATCGTGCCTGACTTTGCTAAGCCTTGTTTTGCTCACTTTCCTAGTCCTGGTTTGGATCATAACCATCTTAATAATTTATCACTTCCTTGTGTTGCTAAGCAGCTGAAGCAGCAGCATAATATTGATAACAATAGGCTATTAAACGGCCCATTATTGAATATTCGCCATCCGAGATTATATGAAAATTATGTTCGACCGCGCCCTCGGTTCCAGTGCCCTACGAATAGCGTTAGCCTCTCGCCAACATTTATGATCGTCAACGGTCGCTTTCCTCATCCTCACCACCTAGCCCGTAATCAACAATTCCCAGCGCCCGTCTTCTACGGTTCGCCACTCGGTTATGTGTATCGCATGCCATCGCCGAGTTCTCAACAACGGTCCGTTGTTCGGCCAGTCCAATCAACCCTACCACGTCACCCTCACTTTTACCCTCACCAACATCACCTCCCTGTATCTACAACCCCCAGACCACGTTATTTTCTTCCCAGCCCTCTTACACTCAAGCCTTCCCGCCCAGTCCAACTGAACAACATGCAACATAATCGAACAATTCGACAGTATCTTGACCAACTGCAGCCTCACCGCTACATTAGACCTCCCTCGCCTCACTCCCTCATGCTCCCCACTCCTTCTCCATCTTATCTCTCGGCTCCCTCTCCTCTTTTTACCCCTTCTTGCTCTCCTATATACTGCCCGGGGGATGACCCTTTCTTAGCAGCAGCCAGGCTCAAGTGGACAGGTACTGCACAGTGTCTCCTTGTGTTGACTTTACGGACTTAACATTTGGTGGGGGTCTTCCCATTAGCGCTTCACTCTCGTGACTTGACTTGGCTACGCGGATCACACTAGGGCCGTTCTGCTTCACTACGCCTTCTTGTACATATGTTCTGTATCTTTGCATCTGCATTCTCTGCACGATCGCCACGTGAATATTGATGGCTCTTTAAATTCAATCAATAATGTGGATTCATTGACCTCCTATTGAGATTTTTCACTGAAAAACAGAATCTACACGACACTTTCCAGAGCTTTGGTTTGCGTTGGTTGGGCTGGCTGCTGCTGTTGACTGCTTGACTGACTAACTGTGTCACGATTCACTGCACACTGTTCAGTGTTCTCTCCAGATCATACATTTCTTTGTTTAACGTGCATTACCCACCGATTAAGGTTTACCCTGCATTGTAAATTATTCTATCGTTAACATTAATAGGTTGATAACGAGCAAAGTTCTGGCTCAAGTCAATTATATCTGTTCTAGGAGGGTTCACTGAGAAAAAATTGATTGAAGCGTTTCCGGCTTCGAATACAATTGCACTCTCATCCAATTTGGTCACAACAGCGTTTATTGGTGATGTCAAGCGTCCTGGCCATCTTCGGAAATCACTCGTCTCCAACTCGTATTTCCTGCGGTGCTAATCATTATGAAACATATGACTAATTTTCCCCACTAACTTTCCATTATACTAACTGGACAAGTTAAATCATTCCCACTAGAACACAAATTGGTATCTTTAATCCATCGATGGGTCTAACCTTTAACCCTTTTCAAACCCAGAAATTCGTCTTATCGTTCACTTGCTATAACGCCAATTTCGCAGTTTTTGCATAATTCATCTGGCCATACACCTCGATTAAGGCATGTGTGCGACTGACACCCACGAGCTAATGATTTTTCATCTACGTTGAAATTGGTACTTTGAAAGTTAATTTTTACGAAATGTTTTTTTGTTGTTGTTGCTGTAACATATGACCTATGCGTTATTTTCGCTGACAGTTTAACTAGAAAATAATTTTTACTGGATGACGTGCATTTACAGATTTATAAATTTGTGACTTGTAATTTAGCGTTAGGACGGCTTTGTTTTGATACAGTTCACTATTCTTGTTTATAGCGCTGGACGCACTTGCCCCTGCAAGTGTAATTCTAGCTGTTCAAACACTGCTTCGTATATGAATTGTTTCAAAGATTGCTGAGCTGCTTTGAGTTCATGCTGGCGCCTTGCATAAGAGTATTTCGTAACGTGCTTTGTATTGCCGTTGTTATCATGGATCAAAGCACCATTCCGTATTTCTTTTTGTAGCGGTTAACATTCAGGGTTGTTCAATTGCATGTCAGTTTCTGCAGAGCCTCTATTGTATGTCATCGCTGAACAGGCACATGGAACACCATGAACTCGACCGTGGACGGGAAGCCAGCCCCTGTGTTCACGCGCAACCCTGCGGAGCTGCGAGGAGAGTTCCTCAGCACTCAGCTCATCAAGTCCTCCCGGGGCCTGGGCTTCACCATCGTTGGTGGAGACGATACCAAGGACGAGTTCCTTCAAATTAAAAGCGTCGTCCCTAATGGCCCTGCTTGGCAAGATGGAAACTTACGCACTGGTTGGTTTTGTATTTCTTACACATGGCTAAAGCTTCGTTCGTTAAATTCAGCGTTAGATACTACATTAAATTTATGCAGTAGCATGTATACTTTTAATGTTTATCGATGCATGGCCAGCAGTTTCCAACAGCCGCATCCGATAAACCGATAGGTCTTCTACTGTCGTGTAACGGAAATTATAGCTTACTATAATCCATGCTATAATCCATGTATCGAACGAGACGTCCAACCAATAGGTCCATTTTAATTAATCTTGTTCAAATAATCGTAATTGATTTACAGGTGACGTTTTAGTGTACGTCAACGACACGTGCGTGCTAGGCTACACACATGCAGACGTGGTGAACATCTTTCAAAACATTGAGCCCGGCCGCTCGGTATATTTGGAGGTGTGCAGAGGCTATCCTCTACCATTCGATCCCAACGACCCTAACACCGAGATCGTTACTACCGTCGCTGTTACAGCCATGGGTGAGTTACTTGGCGCGATCACTTGGACGGAAGGTTCGCAACGTCTTGGTATCTACATTTCACAGGTTATGCTATGGCTATTCAATTCCAAATTAGTTGAGCACCCATATCATTGCCGGCTCTGTTACAACTGATTTTCTTTAGTTGTATCACCAATAGGGATCAGATTGCATCTGGTAATGTGGCTCATAGAAAACATTGATTTTTGAGTTTCATCATGCCATAACGAAATATTTGTTGTAAAATAGAAGGACAAGTAGCTCCACAAGGTTGTGTTAAGAACAATTACAATTTTAAAATACTTCTTCAACAACTTAATTATAATCTATTAACTGAATAACTACCTATTTACCCACCTAAAGCTTACCTACGTATTTTTTATCATAGATTCAAGATCAGCGAAGTCGATGTTCGGCGAGAGCTACGAGCGGTCTCGCCACAACTCAAACGAGTCTCTCAACACCGCCAAGTCTATGCCCGACCTCAGTAATCCAGACCGAGTACAACAGGTCCCCAGACCTGGCTCGGCTGATCTATTAAACTCGGAAAATTTTGACACTGCTCCGGATATTTTAGATTTTTACAATTCGAACATGGCGAAGCCAGAGTACCTAACCATACCCATCGTGAAAGGAAGCATGGGCTTTGGATTCACTATTGCCGATAGCGCATATGGACAAAAAGTGAAAAAGATTCTAGATCGCAGTAGATGTAAAAATTTGATGGAAGGCGACATTTTAGTTGACATCAACAGCATCAATGTGAAGAGAATGAGTCACACGGAGGTGGTTCAAGTGCTGAAAGAGTGCGCGCAGGGCCAAGAAGCCATCGTCATGGTGGAGCGAGGAGGTGCCGACTCTCCTTCTAAAAATAGGCCACGGAAAGAACCCTTGCCTAGCCCAAAGAAAGCTTTAATTGGTCCCTCTTCTGCTGGTAGCGTATTTCCCACAGGCCAGTACCGAAGCAAGACGCCTACCGCCGACATGTACAGCTCCCAGACAAAAGAAGTCATTCCTAATAGACCCAAAACTCCACTAGTCGATACCCGCAATCGGCCCAAGACCCCCAACCTTGTAGGAGACGGTCGTCCCTACGCTGATATGACTCGACCACTCGCCGAGAGTGTAGACAGTAGAGTACCTGATCCACAGGGTCCAACAGGGCATTATCCTGGTCTGTACAGCCCCAACCACCCTCCACCGCCCCATCATGACATGCCTTACGATCCTAAACTGACCAGCGTATCTCAGCAGATGTCTAATGTGACGCTCGACGGTAGCAGCTACAGTTATTACAACAACAATGACGTCAGCCGGAGTTCTGCTGGCTTAGATTACAACTACCCGAACAATGGACCAATGCCGCCTCAGAATTACTCTTATCCTAATAATTCGTCATTCCCGTCTGAATCTGGATATCATCCAAATTCTGAGTCCTACGAGTACGATATGAAAAGAAGCATGTCAAAAACTCCTATTCAAGATCCTTATTATAGCCCTTACCCTAACTCGTCGCAGCCGCAACCTTACAATCAGTATTATGCGAATGACGCTACTCGCTCTCTTCCCAGCAATGGTAACTCGCTAATGCTCAATAATGCTAATATCATCAATAATAATTTAGGAAATAACGGTCACAATACCAGTATAGACAACGCGGGCGGCAACGGCTATATGCCATACCCTAAAGATGGCTTCGACGTCCCGCGCCAGGACTCTGGCTACAGTTCTCAGACGCAATTACCGCCAGCGCCTAACCCTTATCATGCTTATTATAATCCAACCGACGGCCACGGTATGCAAGCCGGTGCCCCAGGCTACGGGTATTCCAACGACAACGGCCTCGTCCGACGCAAGGAGTCCACTAGTTTTGAACACGAACATCCTGCTCCTGTCAGCATGCCCAGGTACTGCTATCTCGTCAGGTTTTCCAAACTTGTTGCAGATTTTCATGAGAAGTTGCGCTACAACTTCAAGAGTTTTCTCTGACTACGGTACTATTTCTGAATAAAGGAGCGAAAAGTTTTTTAATTAGACTTATGATGGCATCGTTTATTCCCATTTCTTTATTTGTTTATTATAAATTTTCTATTAAATTATGCACAAATTGTTATACTGTAACCCACTAATCGGGCAGGTTCCCTGACGGGCGTTACACCGTCGGCCAGCGCGGCACTCGTGGTCCCCCTAACGGCAACGCAGCTCCCGTGCACGAGTTTACGGTCACCCTTCGCCGCCAAGAAACTGGATTTGGCTTCAGAATTGTTGGCGGCACAGAGGAGGGCTCGCAGGTAATATTTTCTCTTACTTAACATGTATTATCTCATGGCAAGGTCTTGTCGTTCTTTGATCTTGTGTAACCACGATGGTTCAACGTTCTTGCCTCGTTTTCTGGTTCTGAATTATTTTGATACTATTCTATTAATAACAATTTCTAATTTCCTATTCTGCGGTTTAATTTGAAAAATCAACAACTGCAATATCTATGAACTATTGTAAATTTCTGTATGTGTAGAGAATGATTTTTAAATGCAATGCGCGTTTCTGTACCTTGTTCGTAAGAAGGGTTTGAGTTTCCGTATTGTGGCAGCTTTGCAGACTCCCCTCACGTTTCAAATGCGCCACTCTCGCCAAGTTAGCTAACTTTTTACTACACATACGCAGTTGGCGATTCACTTAGATAATGTATCACCATGGCTGTAAAACGGATCTAGTTAAATGTGAATTGAAGTTTCATACTACCGTTCTCTGCATTTCTAACGGTCTCGAATTTCTCTATGCCCATGATCCCGTAATTATCTGTGTTGCCTTGATCTCGTGATCACCACTGTTTCAAAGTTCTCATAATCACGTCTCACTGGTCTCGCCATCATCTCAATCCCGCCGGTCTCTGTCCCACCATTGTTTCACTATCGTTTGTGTCTCGCAGTGTTCGTAACCATGTCGTGTCTCGCAGGGTTCGTAACTATGTCGTGTCTCGCAGTGTTCGTAACCATGTCGTGTCTCGCAGTGTTCGTAACCATGTCGTGTCTCGCAGGTCTCGCAGGGTTCGTAACCATGTCGTGTCTCGCAGGGTTCGTAACCATCGCCGCCAAGAAACTGGATTTGGCTTCAGAATTGTTGGCGGCACAGAGGAGGGCTCGCAGGTAAGATTTTTTCTTACTTAACATGTATTATCTCATGGCAAGGTCTTGTCGTTCTTTGATCTTGTGTAACCACGATGGTTCAACGTTCTTGCCTCATTTTCTGGTTCTGAATTATTTGATACGATTCTATTAATAACTATTTCTAATTGCCTATTCTGCAGTTTTATTTGAAAAAGCAACTACTACAATATTTATGAACTGTTAGCAAATTTCTTTGTGTGCAGAAAATGATTTTTAAATGCTTTGCGCGTTTCTGTACCTTGTTCATAAGAAGTTTTGTTGTGGCAGCGTCGCAGACTCCCTTCACGTTTCAAATGCGAGACTCGCCAAGTTTTCTAAATTTTTACTACACATACGCAGTTGGTCATTCACTCGGATAGGGTATCACGGTGGCTTTAAAACTGTTCTAGTTGAATGTGAATTGAAGTTTCATACCGTCTTCTGCATTTCTAACGGTCTCGAAATTTTCTGCGCCCAAGATCTCGTAATTATCTGTGTGTTGTCTAAGTCTCGTGAACACCACTGTGTCGAAATTCTCATCATGTCTCACTGGTCTTTTTATCATCTCAACCCCGCTGGTCTCTGTCCCACTATTGTCTCACAATCGTCTCTGTCCCGCAGTGTTCGTAACCATGTCGTGTCTCGCAGGTCTCGATAGGGCACATCGTGAGTGGCGGCGCGGCCGACCAGGACGGCACGGTGCTCACCGGCGACGAGATTCTGGCGGTGAACGGCGAGAGCGTGGTGGGGGCGTCGCACCACAGGGCGGTGACCCTCATGGCTGCCGCTGCCACCAGGGGCGTTGTTACTCTCACCCTCTGCAGGAGACAGCCGCCAGGTCGGTCCTGGCTTGCAGTCATGGCGTTACTCGTCTCTTGCCATATTCTCATTTTGAGTTTGGTGCTCGGTGATAGTCAGAATTGTTTATTTTATTCAGTGAAACGCTTGTAAGATGCATTTATCGACTCTTGCTATGGTTAGGCCGCGAGAATAGTCTTTCTATGTTCTTAATAAATTTCACTTGAATTTTAGAAACGTGCACAGGATTCGATCAATTTTTTATTTCAACTATTTTTTGAACTGGCCTAGGGTAATTTACATTGGTGGTTGTGAATCGTCTTCCTCCAGGCGTCTGTGTAAATTCGCCTGCTTTTTCGAAATGCAATCATGTTCTATTAATATTCAATCGTCATCCCTTGCATAAATTTAATCTCTTGAATTAGTGTTGCTGATGTTTTTACATGCTCGTTTTTCTCATTCAGATCTGCACAACCGTTCGCTAGAATTGAGCTTTCCTTATGACATCACCGTCACTAGGAGGGAAGACGAAGGATTTGGTTTCGTCATCATCTCTTCAGTTACCAAGTCAGGCTCAACAATAGGTGAGAGTCTCAAATTCCTTCACGGAAATGGCATTTTCCCATATGTTTTTTTTTTACAGCTGCCCTTGACATTATTGTATAGAGTGCATTTATACCGAATTTTGCGGCAGTATGACCTAATGAATATCCACAGTTGTTTTCATAAGAGACTCAATAGAAATTGATATTCAGGTCGGATCATTGAGGGAAGTCCTGCGGAGCGCTGCGGAAAGCTGCATGTCGGGGACAGAATCTTGGCTGTGAACGGCGTCGACATCAAGAGTTTGCACCATGGCAGCATCGTGAACCTCATCAAGCTCTCTGGATACAGCGTCACACTCACCATCGGTGCCCCAAGAGGTATGACCTCAATACCTGCGGTGCCCATAAATTTCAACTCACTTAGTCGGTAGTCGGAGTTGTGAAGTAACTTTGAATTTGCTACAAGCTGGCTATTGCTTTCTATGTTAAAAGATTAATGACGTTTTTTTTTTATTTGTGCGTTCTTGAGTATTTCTGAGTGAGTTTGTTTCTTGGCTAGTTAATGAGTTAGTTAGTGGGAGGACTGTTTTAAGAAGGACAGAGAAGTAGACCAAGTTTTAACTACGTCCGCATGTACTCCTCTACTGACTTCGCTCTCTTGTCGTGCGCGTTGTATGTTTTCTGCAATGCCGCATTTAATTTTTATCGGTTTTGATTAAAGGTTTCATGCATTTAGTTTAGTTGCCCCTCTTACCGAACGTCATATTCTGATGAGATTTAGGTTAAGATTTTCCACATGAATAATTTGGCTTCTGTCTCATTCCCTAATAAACTAAATTTTTTCAGGGATAAATTTGTTTTGGCTCTTAACTAAACTGGGCGATTAAAACACCTTGTAGTCTCATTATTGCAATGATTTAAACATTCTCGCACGATTTTATTAAAACGCAATCACTGAAATCTTTTACTGCAGCCTGTATTGTCATCATTGCTCTTATTGATGAGATATCATTAGATTTGTGTCTCCTTGAAATAACTTAATTTTAAACCTTCTCAGCTTGCTAGCCTATATACGTTGTGAAACCACTAGCATTGTCATTTACCACTTTTGTAAATATTTAAATTTATCATTTTTATGTGTTAATATCGTATTTTCGAGCTTCTAATCCGCGATCTTTTCTCTCAACACAGACGACTCTTCCAGTTCGACCAACTCACTAAAGGTGAGTTGCTAAGCATACCCACATTCATCGCAGTATATTTCAGTTTTCAGTCTTCACCTCTTAGCATTTAAACTGATATTGACGAAGTGTCAATTGTTTTCCGTATAAAACTCATCTCATATTCGTGCGATTGTTCATCGCTGACATTGCTTACTCTAGTCTATCCTTCGGTACGGCTTTGAAGTGTTTTCAATTCCTGAATAATGAATCCAAGCATCAGGCCTACGCGCTCTGAAATCATTCACATTTGCCAGGATTATTTGTTAATGTTCCAGCGCCTTTTCAATTTAATGTTTGAGCGCCTTTATAATTTTATGTTCGAGTGCCTTTATAATTTAATATCCCATTGCCTTTATAATTTAATGTTCCAGCGCCTTTGTAATTTAATGTTCAAGCGCCTTTATAATTTAATGTTCCATCACATTTATAATTTAATGTTCCAGCGCCTTTACAATGTAATGTTCCAGCGCTTTTATACTTTAATGTTCCAACGCCTTTATAATTCTGACTTGACGTTGACGGTTTGGAACTGTCCAGGCGGACAGCGACGTTGGGGACGATAGTGGAGAATATATGAGCGTGGAGCTGATGCGCGGCCCTCGGGGCTTTGGCTTCAGCATCAGAGGAGGTCGCGAGTTCCAGCAGATGCCGCTGTTTGTGCTGCGCATCGCTGAAGGCGGACCCGCTGACCACGACTCCAAGCTCAAGGTACGCTCCTATCCACTATCTTGGTGGAAGTAATGCATGGCGTGAGCGTTAAAACGACTATTTAGAGTGTGTGTTTGTTTACATGAATGTTGCTGACCTAAAGAGGTCGCGAGACCGATTACATTACATTTGAATCGAGTATCTTGGTAGGATGGCGAACGGAGCGGGTCGCGAATATGAATTGATCAGTTTTGCTTTTCATTTTTGCTAGATCATACCTTTACTGATCTCCAAACACCTCCTTCTTTGCTCTCCATTTGGGTGCTACGAGTGTAATGATCAGGAGCAGAGTTTTGGCCTGAGACTCGATACGTTGTGATGCGCTGTATATTATTTCGTCTAGCTGTTTACAGGTGCCCTCGGTACCTCCGTTATATACTATGTAGTCGTTAGTCCCTTGAGGTCGACGTAAAAATATCCTGAAAATTTAAACGATTTTTTTATGAGTAAGTAAATTTGTTCTATCATCGACCAGATTTTTATACTGGTCGATTTAATTATAGTTACTTGATTGCTTTTTATTTGATATTCCTCACTTACTGTTATACATTCGTACTCAGGTGGGCGATCAGCTGATCGAAATCAACGGACAATCAACCAAAGGCATGACGCACGCCGACGCCATCGAGCTCATCAAGCAGAGCAACAACACTGTCTCTCTTCTGGTCAAACGCGGCGGCAAGATCCCCCAACACCTCGGAGGTGGGATGCACAGTATTTGACATCCCCCAATTGCTTTGTAGAGCAAGCGTTAACTGTGTAGGGTGGACCAATGTTCGCTTAGCACGACGTAGGCGACGAGGTGGCGGTCTACCTTGTTGATTATTAACTGTTTACACCATCGGATGAATTAACCTTTCATTAGGTTTAAGTTATGAATGCTAGGCCTGCTTGGTATAATAGCTGTATATGTAGTCTTATAGTTAGCTTCTTGGTCAATCCGCAGCAGTAATTTGCATGTCAGAATAATTTGGTATTATACGAATATATCTCATGAATTTACCAACGCAAATGCATTCATTGCAGATCCGCTGAGCAGCGGTGGGGTTGTATCCCCGGTGGGACCTCCACCACCACACACCAACATCCGGTCCACTGCCACTTTACCTTCTCCCTCACACAGCCCTGCATACCCTCCTCCTCCACCATCACACCACCACCCCCCACCACCCCATCACAACTCCAACAACCCTTATCCTCCTCCTTCTTCACTCCACAACCCCTCACAACCCCCCTACGTGTATCCTCACAACGGTAGCGTGCGGTACCAGCCTCCTTCCCTGCAGTCGTCCCCAGCCGGCCAGTACATCTCCCCCATGAACCCCAACGGACCACTGGGGCAGTCCTCCCCTCGCGTGATATCCTCAGAGAACTACTGGGCTAGGATGCCGCAATGATCAGCCCGTTACTCGTCCTTCTATAATTCTCTTACAAATTACACAGTGAAAGTACACGAATTTTACCGCCCACAATAGCATTAAAACTTCGGTGGGATTATGCTCACCCTACGTTACACTTTGTTTAGACTCTCGTCAGTGGACAAAGTTATGATGATCACTGATAGATAATGACAATACTCGAGTAAATGAGATAACAAAATTTTCAATTTTTTTACACAATACTCTATTTGCCCGGCTGAATGAGTAAGATAAACTATTCTGAAATTCTATAAATTAGCCGTACTTTATTCTTATTTAGTATACCAATTGCAAAGTAGCCCAACTCATCCTCATCCGACTACAAATTCAATTAAGAATGAATAATTTTTTATTTTGTATTCACTTGCTGCTCATTTAAGTAAATTACTTATAAAATGCCTTAAAAATGTGCCTGAATAGATAATATAATGGATCTTATTGTGGACGCTGTGTCGACTCAATGGCTGACTAGTTTCATTCTTTGACATCTCTGATGGAGCGCTCGCTAACGTGCGTGCGGGCGTGAGCTTATCTCGCCTAAGTTACTGCGTCCCTGAAGATTTTTTAATGCAAATATTGCAGTGTTTTTCTTGTGAAGTTATTGCTGCCAAGTGATCAAACGCGAACCTAATTTAACATGTTGCTAGTAGACTCTTGTGTCGAATCTGATTTTATATCAGCTGGTGGTTCAAAGATAACTAAATATTTACGGTCCAAATTTGATTAGGTCGCAGATTCTCGAGTTGTTCATGATGAGTTCAAAGGAGCAAAATCTCTCTCCTCCATTGATACCAATTTGTTTCTATTAGAAATTTAAGCTTGTAGTAAATTTAATTTTCAAATTACCGTCACAAGAAAAAGTTTGGGGTTAGAATGTCGTTCGATTGAATGTATTGCAGTGCGTTCTTATTATATAATTTTAGGCTAACCAAATTAATTCCGTTGAATTGAAGTGGATAATTTCACGATTGAAGCATTCATAAATCTGCCCGCTAATTGTGTTATAGCTTGCAACGGAACTTCTGGATAAATCCACTTGTTACGTGACGTTTCCTCCTGATCTCCAATGGTAAGAAAAACATAAGAGTGCAACATTTTCACAGTTTTATATGCATCGATGTTACGGACTAATATTTTTGTCTTCCGGAGGTAAATTAAAAATACACATAGCGGTACCGAGTGTCTTCCTCGCCTTAATAACGATACTTTAAGTAATACTGCGTGTCAAATGTGCTCAATTATGTGGTGCAAGATTCTTACATCGTGTACAGATACGTTAGGTACTCGTTAGTTCCAGCTCCCTGGCAAAAGACTCCGTATTAGTTCGTGTACATAAATAGCCTCTCTTTTACGAGGAATGCTGAAGCATAACTTGCGATTCTAATGCTTCCATAAAAGTTCTGTGTTGTCGTGTACCGTCTTAGCTTCATCTGTCCTTTTGATCTTCAAAGAATGCACGTTATTTGCAGTTTTGTTTATCCAATTATATTTTGCTTTGACTACGGTTTTTTGACTGTGAATTTAATGCAAAATTGTAAATAAATTTGTTGACGTTTCGATACCTTTTCAATATCCTATTTTATGGTGCCATCAGGAATGTATACACTTCGAATTGCTGCTCGAATTCTTCTTAATGAAATGTATTTGCCTCAAGTTACAATTATTAATGAGTACCAGCAATACCATACAGAAAACGTGAAGTACCCTGATATTTTGCATGTTCCGACGAGACAAGAGAAATAAGAGAGATATCAAGCGTGAAATTGTCGGTAGTAATTGCTCCTATTCCCCTCTTGGTCTGGGTTAGTGATGGATTTAGTTGCAGCTGCCCGAAAGTTGTGAACTCTGTTTGCACGTAGCGCCAATGTTTCGGATGACTCGTTCTTGCTGCTTGTTGTTGTTAATTGCCCGGGACCGCTGCTCGGCGGTGCCCACGAAGAGGCGGCGGCTCCGGGGGAGGAGGGGGGAGCGGAGGTTCCACTCCAAGGATGTCGGCGAAGGATGGGAGCGACGAGAGGAAGGCTGCAGTCGGCCCAGGGTTAGACCAGAGGTCCAGCGGGGTCAGCGAGGTGGGATGCGAAGGGCAGTTGAAGAGTTGATGGGTGGTGTGGTCTATTGCGCCGCACTCAGGGCAGAGTGGGTTGTTGGCTGCACCAATGCGGGCAAGGTACGAGTTGAGCCGCGATGAGTATCATGTTCCGACGAGACAAGAGAAATAAGAGAGATATCAAGCGTGAAATTGTCGGTAGTAATTGCTCCTATTCCCCTCTTGCTCTGGCTGGGACTTGCTTTGGTCTGGGTTAGTGATGGATTTAGTTGCAGCTGCCCGAAAGTTGTGAACTCTGTTAGCACGTAGCGCCAGTGTTTGGGATGACTCGTTCTTGCTGCTCGAGCGACTAGCTGCGTACAGCAAAAACCTTTGTGATTTGCGTGATTACGACTGTCACACGCATTCCAATACAGCAAGTACTACCTGTGATAAACTATTCCAAATGCGTGAGAATGAAACGTCCAGCTTTTAAAATAACTTTTTAAATATTAAATTTCGAAGCAGATGTGTATATCAGACCAGGCATTTACAAAGGCAAGACTCGTAACGGACCGAGTGGTAATCAGAATGAAAATAATTCCTCAAACAGGGCTGAAATGCATTGAAAACAATGAAAGATATCAAGGGAGTAACGAAAATTAAATTATTGCAAATCAGGGTATGAGTGAAGAAAATAAGCTGCAGTAAAAGAAAGGAAATTACAGATATGGAATGGAGGAAACCAGGAAGATAGAGCACATAACTATTGCTGCTGAATTATTGATGGAAGGTATGAAGAAACATTCCAGATGATACTAACTGGCACAAGTTTCGCTATAACTCCAAGATAAGCTTGACTTGTACTGGAATAATTACTTGTAGCATGCGTTAGGGAGCCAGTGAGCACATTAAAAGAAAATATTTGCTGAAATATCTGCCACCACGTATGGTAGCTCGTCTGCGAAAGAATGTTGCCCCGACACTGTGTTTTTCTAGCCATTAGTACAGGCAATCATAACATAACATAACATAGTGATGTCGGCGCTGAAGTGTAGGCCTGATGTGGCCTGTCGTTTATTCTTTTCCTTTTCGTGCCTTGTTCATAGATCTAAACTCGTGTCATTTGACCGGATCTTTTCATGACTGGCGATAGTTTGAAGTAGCTACTAGACTTCCACCGGGTTCGATAAGGAGCTAGGCATTTCAAATCTGAACATATATTTTTCCATAGCTTTATCTAGTCTGTTCTTGAACGCGTTCATACTTGGAGCGCCAACGATGTCATTGGGGAGGCTGTTCCACATGTCGGTGATGCGAAGCGAGAAGAAATTTGTCGCGTGGAGAAGTTGCAGCGCTGTTTTTTTTAGCTTAGGCTATCATTACATGGCTATCATTATTATTAATTAAATGAATATGGCAAGTGCACACTGGTCACTTTAAGCTTAACTATTAGAATGCTTATAATTGCCTAAAATCGTAGAATGCTTATGATTGCTTATCAAACTAAAGTCATTTTGAATGGAAATAAAGTTAAACCTTTATAATACCATTCCTTTCTAGAATCTCTTGCCAATTCGATAAAAATTGTAGCTTCATGGTTAATTTCAAACCTCAAAACAGTAAACCCCTTAACGATAAGAAGCACCATCAGAGAAATATTAATCCATATTTTTACGATACTTTTGTGTTTACCCTTAGTAGATCTCTCATTTAGCTCTTTGCATTCGAACCTCTATACTATTGTTTACAACTTCATGTGAGTGGTGGTCAGCACTGCAGCATTCAGACCAAAAATCGTGGCCATTTGTCACCTGAGCCGTTAGGCTGAGTGAGCAGAGTAAAAAGCTGCAAATGATGTCCACTTTTATTTGCGCTTAATTATTTTGTCCCTGAGCGTATAGTTTACTAAACAGTCTAAACTGTCTAGAGAATCATGCTCGTGCTACTGAAGTTATCGGGCTGACATGAATTACATAAATAAAGAAGACGACATCATCCGAATGTCCGACATGGCTTGAGTTGTGCCATCAGTGCCTTCTTATTATTGTTTGCGGCAGCGGCAAGTAGGCTTAATAGGATGATCATTGATCAGATAATTACAGCTAAATGGCTTTATAAAGATAACAGTGCAAACTTGTAGTACACATTGACACAACACATGGTCACATCACTCACTCGTCACATGCAATGTGCCAGGTTTCATAAAGTGGCAAGAGTTATTGGAATTTCAACTACTTTTTGTAAAGTAAATGACCTTTTTTTTGGTCATTACAACAACTCCAAACCTGGATTAATAGTTAATTTATATATTTCATTGACTATGAATAATTTAATACATGATATTTTAAAAAAATAATACACTGACTGCTATCACTCACACATTTTTTTTGGTTTCAGATGTCAGTCACGCCAACGCATTCTGGTAAGGTTCTGTCTGTCGTATGTGTTCAAGCTTGGAAGAAAAATCCGACAGATGGCGCTGGTTGTTGACTTCTTTTCAAGTTGAAACTTGACTACAGCAATCCCTTGATTAGCATGGTTTTGAATACCGCGGTTTTGATTAACGCGGAAAAAAAAATTTGCGACCTACCCTTAATCTACGCGGTGCCAGTTTTGATTAGCGCGACTTTTTTTTCACAACGCATCATTTTCCCGCCTCTAGCCAGAGGTACGTTCGTAACAAAAGTGTTACTTTTTGCTTATTAGATCTTATGTCTGTCTCTTATACACATCTNAAAAAAAATTGTCACGCGCTTGACATCACCGTTAGGGTACACACACAGTGAAAGCAGGTTTGCCCGTGCGGGCAACCTGCTTCAACCTGCCACAAGAATGAACATAGGATAATCATGTAACTGTTCACAGTGAAAACCTGTACGGATAGGCTTCTGTATTCTACGGGTTCAGGCGCCAGCCTGAGCAGGTAACCAGCACGCTGGCAACCTGCTTGCACTGTGTGTGTACCCTTAGGCCATAATGAATATGTGAACCAAGTTTCATCAAGCTATGTTCAGTACTTTGGGAGATATTTCAGGTACAGAGTCCGGCCGTAAATTTGTCTGAGACGTATGAGTCTCTTGAAGCTATTCATATTTTATTAATGTTTGTTGTTAGTCTATATAATTAACCTTCAAAGTTGCGAAAAATGAGAACTGGCAATTTAAAAAAAAGTGCAGTGCATGTATTTTTGTTTCAATGGGTTTGCACCGCACAAACCCATTTCTTCAGCCGGGAGGATGTCGGGAACGCAACGTATTCCTGACATTGACATTCGGGTTTGTACTATTTGCTATAGTCAGTCCTTCGTCGGGCGCTAATACCTTCGTCGGTGCTACGCCGTATCTTAACCAAGTAAGTAAGTCCTTCGTTAAAAGGAGCCAATCTCAAGCCATGTGGATTGTCGGCTGTCGCCTTCTACTATTCAGTTTTATAATTAATTTCCAACCGAGTTGTGATCTATGAATAATTATTGAGAACATTGCCGACTCTTAGAACCTGAGTTAACACGTTAGAAATCTAGTCAACGTGATGCAGATATTTGTTCGTGTGTGATAGCGTTGCCGCGCATTCGTCTTTAAACAACTTTAGTAGCACGGCGCAGGCTGGCGCACGGTGCACTTTTTTACCGGCATATTACGGCGCACGGCGCAAATTGATGCAATGATAATAAAAATTCCCGCGCACCTGGCACATCTTCCTGACCATGGACTGCTATCACTCACGCATTTTTTTGGTTTCAGATGTCAGTCACGCCACCGCATTCTGGTTCTGTCTGTCGTATGTGTTCAAGCTTGGAAGAAAAATCCGACAGATGGCGCTGGTTGTTGACTTCTTTTCAAGTTAAAACTTGACTACAATAAAATTTTCTGTGTGCCTCTTCAGCTCTTCTGTACCATGGTCAGGAAGGTGCAGTATGTACGCCGAAGGTTCATTTTGGGATGTACGCCAGTGTGCCAGGGAAGAAAGTTGCCAATATGCTTGCTAAAAACGGAAGTGTAACCCTCGCCAATGCTGCATGATCAACACAGGCACACATACTTTACGATTGATGCCTGGCAATTGTCACAAACACACGTGCTTTACGATCTATATAGCCGATGCCCAATGATCAAAATGATCAACACTGATGCACGCTCTTTGCAATCAAAGTGGCCGATGCCTAATGATCGACACAAGCGCACGCGATTAACAATCGGTTTAGCCGATGCCCAATGATCAATACTGATGCACGCTCTTTGCGATCAAAGTGGCCGATGCCTAATGATCGACACAAGCGCACGCGATTTACGATCGGTGTAGCCGATGCCCAATGATCAACACAGAAGCACGCTCTCTGCAATCAAAGTGGCCGATGCCTAATGATCGACACAAGCGCACGCAATTTACGATCGGTTTAGTCAATGCCCAATGATCAACACTGATGTGCGCTCTCTGCGATAAAAGTGGCCGATGCTTAATGATCGACACAAGCAAATAACATAAAATATGGTAACACTAACAATATGGTATTAACAACACAACACATTG